AGGATGGTAGCACCTCCTGGGTGGCTGCTGTCTACCAACCTGCTTCCATAAAATATTTAACCCTTTCAGGGTCGCAGGCCCTCTCTTAAACTTGTTCTCAGGGTCGGAAATTTTCTGGGAGAGAGAAGGGGGAAAAAAAAAAAAAAAAAAAACTATGAAATGATGGAGAATCTTTTCCCAAGCATAATGACACCTAAACTATGAAATATGATGGAAAACTTACGGAATTACGCTCTCGCGAAGTTGGTGGTCTCGACGATGTTTATGCAACAGTGATTTCGCCCAATTTTCAGCCAATTCCAATGTACCAGTTGACAAAAATCATAACTATTTCACTAGAACTCCATTTTTTCTATCAAATGAGTACAAGAAACCACCCATTTACCAATTTCAACTATCCAATAAAGTGGTCTGAAATTGGCAATTTGCCAATTTCACACAAATTTCAAAAGATGCCAATTTCCCAATAGGGTCCAGAATAAACAAGACAGACATTCCTAGCACTAAAATAATATTTCCTCTGTTCATTAGTCATGTCCCCAGGCCCCTGTTACATTTCTTCTGCTTTCCACTTTGAATTTTTATTCTCACAAAAAATAAAAGATTTACTGTTATGCAGACTACTGCATTAGTGTAGAAATAGTGTAGAAATGGAATAAATAATATCAGTGCACTTGTAAAAGAATATTAGATTCACTAGTTGATGTGTATTGGATGTATGGCTCGATTTATTTACTTTTGAACCTCGGCAAAAATCGAACATTTCTTCTACTTTGAGCTCAATTTCAAGGTACTTTTCATTGTGAAACCAATAAAAATCATCTCAATTTCCGTAATGTGTCTTCCATTACATAAATTGAGACCAGGAAAACTAGAATACAACCATAAATAGCATATGAAAATACACTGCAAAGTCGCTGTTTTAAACCAAAAACACGGAGTTTTTTTTGTCTCATTATGCACAGTGTGCTTCAAGATTTTTTTTATAGTGCGCACACTGACCACAGACCCATTCTTTCATATGTAGGCCCACCAGCTTTCTCTCGCTACATATGAAGGCGCTAGAATTTATGTGTACTAGTACGGCACCAACCCTGGCGTGCAAGCCGTACTAGTACGGCACCAACCCTGGCGTGCAAGCCGTACTAGTATGGCACCAACCCTGGCGTGCAAGCCGTACTAGTACGGCACCAACCCTGGCGTGCAAGCCGTACTAGTACGGCACCAACCCTGGCGTGCAAGCCGTACTAGTACGGCACCAACCCTGAAAGGGTTAAAGACAGCCATGAAGAATAAGTGTCACAGCAGTAGGCTTTCATTTGAAAATCCTCCTTGTAACATTACACATCCATTATACAAGTCACAGATAAAAGAGAGAAGCTTACGACGACGTTTCGGTCCGACTTGGACCATTGACAAAGTCACGCTAACCAGTCGGACCGAAATGTCATCGTAAGCTTCTCTCTTTTATGTGCGGGTTATTTGTGTATCGTTCCAGTCACGGTATTGTGCCTTTTTTTGTTATTTGTTATAAAAGTCACCTGTGCAACAGACAATAATCCTGACAACAATCAGCTTCCTAACCTTTGTGATTACCTCTACAGTAAAAATTCTAAAATTTACCACTTTGGGAGTGGTGGCACTGCAACATTCTTTGTCAGTACAGTAATTAATAATCCTCTTTCACATATACAGTGGAACCTCAAATATCGAACTTTCTTCGGTCCAGAAGTCTGTTCGAGTGCCTTTACCGAATGAATTTATTCCCATCAGGAATAACGTAAATTAGATTAGTCCATTTCAGACCCTTAAAAATACACTTATAAAAGCACTTACAAAAATACACTTACATAATTGGTTGTGTTGGGAGCAGTTCGATTTTTGAGGTTCCACTGTATTAATGTTTAACTTGGGTTTCCAGTAGACCATGGTGGGTCAGAGGTGTATTGTAGAATAATTACTGTGTGACCTCTGTTGGTCTGGCAAAATTTATATTTTGGCCAAGCCTAGGAACCATGGGTGCTGGAAAATCAGTGTTGTACCTAAATCAGGAGGTCCATCATAACTAATGCAGTAGCAACACATATCTATTTAAGGCTAATACACACCTCCTTACCTAGGGATTGGCGGAGAGCATGTATAGTCCCTTTATATAAAGGGAAAGGGGACAAAAGAGACTGTAAAAATTATAGAGGAATAAGTTTACTGAGTATACCAGGAAAAGTGTACGGTAGAGTTATAATTGAAAGAATTAGAGGTAAGACAGAATGTAGGATTGCGGATGAGCAAGGAGGTTTCAGAGTGGGTAGGGGATGTGTAGATCAAGTGTTTACATTGAAGCATATATGTGAACAGTATTTAGATAAAGGTAGGGAAGTTTTTATTGCATTTATGGATTTAGAAAAGGCATATGATAGAGTGGATAGAGGAGCAATGTGGCAGATGTTGCAAGTATATGGAATAGGTGGTAAGTTATTAAATGCTGTAAAGAGTTTTTATGAGGATAGTGAGGCTCAGGTTAGGGTGTGTAGAAGAGAGGGAGACTACTTCCCGGTAAAAGTAGGCCTTAGACAGGGATGTGTAATGTCACCATGGTTGTTTAATATATTTATAGATGGGGTTGTAAAGGAAGTAAATGCTAGGGTGTTCGGCAGAGGGGTGGGATTAAATTTGGGGGAATCAAATTCAAAATGGGAATTGACACAGTTACTTTTTGCTGATGATACTGTGCTTATGGGAGATTCTAAAGAAAAATTGCAAAGGTTAGTGGATGAGGTTGGGAATGTGTGTAAAGGTAGAAAGTTGAAAGTGAACATAGAAAAGAGTAAGGTGATGAGGGTGTCAAATGATTTAGATAAAGAAAAATTGGATATCAAATTGGGGAGGAGGAGTATGGAAGTGAATGTTTTCAGATACAGTGGACCCCCGCTTAACGATCACCTCCAAATGCGACCAATTATGTAAGTGTATTTATGTAAGTGCGTTTGTACGTGTATGTTTGGGGGTCTGAAATGGACTAATCTACTTCACAATATTCCTTATGGGAAAAAATTCCGTCAGTACTGGCACCTGAACATACTACTGGAATAAAAAAAGTTCGTTAACCGGGGGTCCACTGTACTTGGGAGTTGACGTGTCGGCGGATGGATTTATGAAGGATGAGGTTAATCATAGAACTGATGAGGGAAAAAAGGTGAGTGGTGCGTTGAGGTATATGTGGAGTCAAAAAACGTTATCTATGGAGGCAAAGAAGGGAATGTATGAAAGTATAGTAGTACCAACACTCTTATATGGGTGTGAAGCTTGGGTGGTAAATGCAGCAGCGAGGAGACAGTTGGAGGCAGTGGAGATGTCCTGTTTAAGGGCAATGTTGTGGTGTAAATATTATGCAGAAAAATTCGGAGTGTGGAAATTAGGAAAAGGTGTGGAGTTAATAAAAGTATTAGTCAGAGGGCAGAAGAGGGGTTGTTGAGGTGGTTTGGTCATTTAGAGAGAATGGATCAAAGTAGAATGACATGGAAAGCATATAAATCTATAGGGGAAGGAAGGTGGGGGTAGGGGTCGTCCTCAAAAGGGTTGGAGAGAGGGGGTAAAGGAGGTTTTGTGGGAAAGGGGCTTGGACTTCCAGCAAGCGTACGTAAGCGTCTTAGATAGGAGTGAATGGAGACGAATGGTACTTGGGACCTGACGATCTGTTGGAGTGTGAGCAGGGTAATATTTAGTGAAGGGATTCAGGGAAACCGGTTATTTTCATATAGTCGGACTTGAGTCCTGGAAATGGGAAGTACAATGCCTGCACTTTAAAGGAGGGGTTTGGGATATTGGCAGTTTGGAGGGATATGTTGTGTATCTTTATATGTGTATGCTTCTAAACTGTTGTATTCTGAGCACCTCTGCAAAAACAGTGATAATGTGCGAGTGTGGTAAAAGTGTTGAATGATGATGAAAGTATTTTCTTTTTGGGGATTTTCTTTCTTTTTTGGGTCACCCTGCCTCGGTGGGAGACGGCCGACTTGTTGGGGAAGAAAAAAAACAAAAAACAAAAAAAAAAACACCTCCTTAATGGTATACATTCTTATTTAAAAATTTTGCATTCATTGTTCTGTGCACCCGTATTCACATTTAAAATCTTTAAAATATTTATCTTCCATAGTACTACTAAGAATAAAAGTTAAGTAGAAAATTATATAAAAATTAAAAATGCCTTGTTTAGTAATAATTGCCTCCTACTGTATTGCACATGAACTACTTCAGCTTCAGTACTATAGATTCACAACAAATTTTTGCATGTTTACCTGAAATAGTCTTTGCTTGCAATGTTGTCATCAAACCATTAAGTCTTGTTTCCAGTTCATCTTTGGCAACAAAATAGCTTTTAAGCCAAGCTCCCATGTCTCTGGCACTCCATAACACTGGACCACCAGAAGTTTTTCCTGTAGCATGGATAGTGGATGACTCTGGCAGACCCAGGATGTCTCCTAGTAACATAGTTATGTGCTTCTCGACATCAGCCAGGGTAATACCAGCATTCTTACAACAGCTCTTGACTTCTGTAGCTAAGGTGGTATGGTCATTCTGTACAGAGTATACATGAATATAGATCAAGGTTTTAAGCATAATTCTGTTTTGCAAAAAAGTAGGAGGTTGTCTTATAGTAATATAAAAACAGAGAAGCAGTGCAGTAAGCCTTCTGGCCATACCAGACAGATCCTACTTGCCTATCCATTACTCTCATCCTAAACTAACATAACACAATACGTACACACATATCTCACCCCATAGTGGCACCATAATCACAATTCTTTAAACTTTAGTTTTTACAGCAATTGGAGGCGTGATGCTATGATTAACTAAAGTTATTTGATTTAAGAAAGTTTACTATTGAAGTCAACAATGTCATTACTTAACTGTCCTACACTTTTTTTTTTTTTAACAAGTCGGCCGTCTCCCACCGAGGCAGGGTGACCCAAAAAAGAAAAATCCCCAAAAAGAAAATACTTTCATCATTCAACACTTTCACCTCACTCACACATAATCACTGTTTTTGCAGAGGTGCTCAGAACACAACGTATAACGATACACAACATATTCCTCCAAACTGCCTATATCCCAAACCCCTCCTTTAAAGTGCAGACAATGTACTTCCCATTTCCAGGACTCATGTCCGGCTATATAAAAATAATTGGTTTCCCTGAATCCTTTCACTAAATATTACATTGCTCACACTCCAAAAGCTCGTCAGGTCCCAAATACCATTCGTCTCCATTCACTCCTATCTAACACGCTCACGCACGCTTGCTGGAAGTCCAAGCCCCTTGCCCACAAAACCCTTTACCCCCTCCCTCCAACCTTTACGAGGATGACCCTTACCCTGCCTTCCTTCCCCTACAGACTTGTAAGCTCTCCATGTCATTCTACTTTGATCCATTCTCTCTAAATGACCAAACCACCTCAACAACCCCTCTTCAGCCCTCTGACTAATACTTTTATTAACTCCACACTTTCTCCTAATTTCCACACTCCGAATTTTCTGCATAATATTCACACCACACGTTGCCCTTGAACAGGACATCTCCACTGTCTCCAACCTCCTCCTCGCTGCAGCATTTACAACCCAAGCTTCACACCCATATAAGAGTGTTAGTACTACTATACTTTCATACATTCCCTTCTTTGCTTCCAAAGATAACATTTTTTGTCTCCACACATACCTCGACGCACCACTCGCCTTTCTTCCTTCATCAATTCTATGTATGTATGCTAAAATTTCTAAATAAATAAATAAATAAATCCTTCACAAATCCATCCGCTGACACGTCAACTCCCAAATACTATCTGAAAACATTCACTTCTTCCATACTCCTCCTCCCCAATTTGATATCCAATTTTTCTTTATCATTTGATACCCTCATCACCTTACTCTTTTCTATGTTCACTTTCAACTTTCTACCTTTACACACACTGTCCTACACAGACAGATAACACACTATCACATTCTCATTTCATCTACATAAATTACATCTCAATATGTTGGCATGGGAAATTATTACTGTATAATCTTTCTGCATGATCAAACTATCCAGAATAAATGCCAAGTCTTAAATTAAATATTTAGGCAAAAAATTAATTTAATTTTGTTAAGAGTAGAAAAGTACCTGTAATTCCTTCAGCTGACCACTCAGGTGTTCAATATTCTCTCTGAGGTTAAACAGCTGTTCACTGTACTTTTGTTGATGGGCTTCTAACTGTTCATGATCCACCTCGGATGATCCTTCAATTTTTGCTAAGCCGGCACCCAGCTGAGAAACGGCCAAACATCGAAAAGTGTTTTTATGGTCACACAAAAATCAAAGATCACAAAATTTTCTTTATGTATTTTGCATATATTATGGAGTGTTTTTTTCTTTTAACCCTTTGACTGTCGCAGCCGTATACATACGTCTTACGAGGTACCGTGTTTGACGTATATATACTCATAAATTCTAGAGGCTTCAAATCATACAGGAGAAAGCTGGTAGGCCCACATGTGAGAGAATGGGTCTGTGTGGTCAGTGTGCACCATATAAAAAAATCCTGGAGCACGCAGTGCATAATGAGAAAAAAACAACTCCGACCTTTTTTTTATTTAATTAAAATACCGACTTTGTGGTCTATTTTCGTATAGTATTTATGGTTGTGTTCTCATTTTCTTAGTCTCATTTGATAGAATGGAAAACATATTATAGAAATAGAGGTGATTTTGATTGATTTTTCTAAAAAAAAAGAACCTGGAAATGGAGCTCAAAGTAGGGGAAATGTTTGATTTTTGCCAATGTTCAAAAGTAAACAATGATGTCATTGTCCAATAAATGTCCAACTAGCCATTCTAATATGCAGTCATGAATGGGTTGATGTTATTTATACAATTATTACAGTATTGCAGTAGTCTGCATAATACTAAGTCTCCTATTTTTTGTTTGAATAAAAATTCAAAATAGAAAGCAAGAGTAATATCAGAGGGGCCTGGAGACATGACTGATGAACAAAGAAAATGTTATTTTAGAGCCAGGAATGTCTGCATTGTTCATTCTGGACCTTATTTTGAAATTGTCATATTTTTGAATTTTCGTGAAATTGGCCAAATTGCAAATTTCTGACCACATTATTGGGTAGTTGAAATCAGTAAATGGGCAGTTTCTCATACTCAATCGATAGAAAAACTGGAGTTCTAAAGAAATAGCTATGAGTTTGGTCGACTGGAACAACGGAATTAGCCAAAAATAGGGCTCAAAGTGGGCGAAATCGCCGATTTGTAAATATCGCTGAGGTCGCTAACTTCGCGAGAGCATAATTCCGTCAGTTTTCCATCAAATTTCGTTTTTTTTGGTGTAATTACAATCGGGAAAAGATTCTCTATCATTTCATAAGAAAAAAATAATTTTTTTTTTTTTGAAATTTTGCGACACCAGGAGACACCTCAGGATTGGGGGTTGCGACAGTCAAGGGGTTAAAAACGAGAAAGAGTAACACAAACATAAGTACATACAGTAGGGTCCTGCTTTACGGTGTTTCGCCTTATGGTGTTCTGATAATACAGCGATTTCAAATTATGACCAAAACTCACTATACAGCTCTCTGTCTTTCAAATACGGCGTGCCCCACCCAGTTTGCTTACATGCTCCCTGAGCACATATCTCTATTATGTCTGGAAACTCTCCAAAATTACAGGTGTTTTAAGCTTATTGCATATTTTATATATATATATATATTTTTATTATTATCACACTGGCCGATTCCCACCAAGGCAGGGTGGCCCGAAAAAGAAAAACTTTCACCATCATTCACTCCATCACTGTCTTGCCAGAAGGGTGCTTTACACTACAGTTTTTAAACTGCAACATTAACACCCCTCCTTCAGAGTGCAGGCACTGTACTTCCCATCTCCAGGGCTCAAGTCCGGCCTGCCGGTTTCCCTGAACCCCTTCATAAGTGTTACTTTGCTCACACTCCAACAGCACGTCAAGTATTAAAAACCATTTGTCTCCATTCACTCCTATCAAGCACGCTCACGCATGCCTGCTGGAAGTCCAAGCAACTCGCACACAAAACCTCCTTTACCCCCTCTCTCCAACCTTTCCTAGGCCGACCCCTACCCCGCCTTCTCTGATAATTATATTTGTGTACCTATACCTAGTAGTAGGTTGGTAGACAGCAACCACCCAGGGAGGTACTACCGTCCTGCCAAGTGAGTGTAAAACGAAGCCTGTGATTGTTTTACATGATGGTAGGATTGCTGATGTCTTTTGTCTGTCTCATAAATATGCAAGATTACAGGCATGTCTTGCTACTTCTACTTACACTTAGGTCACACTACACATACATGTACACATTTATTTATACACACTCATCTGAGTTTTCTTTGATTTTATCTTAATAGTTCTTGGTCTTATTAATTTTCCTTTTATATCCATGGGGAAGTGGAATAAGAATCTTTCCTCCGTAAGCCATGCGTGTTGTAAAAGTCAACTAAAATGCCGGGAACAATGGGCTAGTAACCCCTTTTCCTGTAAAGATTACTAAAAAGAATAAGAAGAAGAAAATTGTCAAAGTGGGAAGTCTGAATGTGCGTGGATGTTGTGGCAGATGATAAGAAAGAGATGATTGTGGATGTTATGAATGAGAAGAAGCTGGATGTCCTGGCTTTAAGTGAAACAAAGCTGAAGGGGGTGGGAGAGTTTCAGTGGAGAGGAATAAATGGGATTAGGTCAGGGGTTTCAATAGAGTTAGAGCTAAAGAAGGAGTAGCAATAATGTTGAAGGATAAGCTATGGCAGGAAAAAGAGGGACTATAAATGTATTAATTCAAGGATTATGTGGAGTAAAATAAAGATTGGATGTGAAAAGTGGGTTATAATAAGCGTGTATGCACCTGGAGAAGAGAGAAGTGTAGAGGAGAGAGAGAGATTTTGGGAAATGTTGAGTGAATGCGTGGGGAGTTTTGAATCAAGTGTGAGAGTAATGGTGGTTGGGGATTTTAATGCTAAAGTGGGTTAAAAAATGTTATGGAGGGAGTAGTAGGTAAATTTGGGGTGGGCCAGGGGTAAATGTAAATGGGGAGCCTTTAATTGAGCTATGTGTAGAAAGAAATTTGGTAATAAGTAATACATATTTTATGAAAAAGAGGATAAATAAATATACAAGGTATGATGTAGCACGTAATGAAAGTAGTTTATTAGATTATGTATTGGTGGATAAAAGGTTGATGGGTAGGCTCCAGGATGTACATGTTTATAGAGGGGCAACTGATATATCGGATCATTATTTAGTTGTAGCTACAGTTAGAGTAAGAGGTAGATGGGAAAAAGAGGAAGGTGGCAACAACAAGTAAGAGGGAGGTGAAAGTGTATAAACTAAGGGAGGAGGAAGTTCGGGTGAGAATATAAGCGACTATTGGCAGAAAGGTGGGCTAGTGCAAAGATGAGTAGTGGGGGGGTTGAAGAGGGTTGGAATAGTTTTAAAAATGCAGTATTAGAATGTGGGGCAGAAGTTTGTGGTTATAGGAGGGTGGGGGCAGGAGGAAAGAGGAGTGATTGGTGGAATGATGAAGTAAAGGGTGTGATAAAAGAGAAAAAGGTAGCTTATGAGAGGTTTTTACAAAGCAGAAGTGTTATAAGAAGAGCAGAGTATATGGAGGAGTAAAGAAAGGTAAAGAGAGTGGTGAGAGAGTGCAAAAGGAGAGCAGATGATAGAGTGGGAGAGGCACTGTCAAGAAATTTTAATGAAAATAAGAAAAAATTTTGGAGTGAGTTAAACAAGTTAAGAAAGCCTAGGGAAAATATGGATTTGTCAGTTAAAAACAGAGTAGGGGAGTTAGTAGATGGGGAGATGGAGGTATTGGGTAGATGGCGAGAATATTTTGAGGAACTTTTTAAATGTTAAGGAAGAAACAGAGGCAGTAATTTCATGCACTGGTCAGGGAGGTATACCATCTTTTAGGAGTGAAGAAGAGCAGATGTAAGTGTGGGGGAGGTACGTGAGGCATTACGTAAAATGAAGGGGGTAAAGCAGCTGGAACTGATGGGATCATGACAGAAATGTTTAAAAGCAGGGGGGGATTATAGTGTTGGAGTGGTTGGTACTTTTGTTTAATAAATGTATGAAAGAGGGGAAGGTACCTAGGGATTGGCAGAGAGCATGTATAGTCCCTTTATTATAAAGGAAAGGGGACAAAAGAGACTGTTAATAATTATAGAGGAATAAGCTTACTGAGTATACCAGGAAAAGTGTACGGTAGGGTTATAATTGAAAGAATTAGAGGTAAGACAGAATGTAGAATTGCGGAATGAGCAAGGAGGTTTTAGAGTGGTAGGGGATGTGTAGATCAGGTGTTTACATTGAAGCATATATGTGAACAGTATTTAGATAAAGATAGGGAAGTTTTTATTGCATTTTTGGATTTAGAAAAGGCATATGATAGAGTGGATAGAGGAGCAATGTGGCAGATGTTGCAAGTATATGGATAGGTGGTAAGTTATTAAATGCTGTAAAGAGTTTTTATGAGGATAGTGAGGCTCAGGTTAGGGTGTGTAGAAGAGAGGGAGACTACTTCCCGGTAAAAGTAGGTCTTAGACAGGGATGTGTAATGTCACCATGGTTGTTTAATATATTTTATAGATGGGGTTGTAAAGGAAGTAAATGCTAGGGTGTTTGGGAGAGGGGTGGGATTAAATTATGGGGAATCAAATTCAAAATGGGAATTGACACAGTTACTTTTTGCTGATGATACTGTGCTTATGGGAGATTCTAAAGAAAAATTGCAAAGGTTAGTGGATGAGTTTGGGAATGTGTGTAAAGGTAGAAAGTTGAAAGTGAACATAGAAAAGAGTAAGGTGATGAGGGTGTCAAATGATTTAGATAAAGAAAAATTGGATTCAATTGGGAGGAGGGTAGGAAAAAAGTGAAAGTTTTCAGTACTTGGGAGTTGGTTTTTCGGGGATGGATTTATGAAGGAGAGGTTAAACATGATTGTGAGGGAAAAAAAAGGGAGTGGTGGTTGAGGTTAGTGGAGTCAAAAAAA